AGCAACAATGTTATTCAAATTGTTTATAAGCGAAAAACGCACGGTTTTTTAATGCACAATTTGAGAATGTTAATGTCAAAAAAACGGTGATATTTTTTAATAGGTCGCTTAATTACGTCTTTAAGATTACAATGACGCTTTCAGAATCATGTTTGGTTGAAAATTAACGCCTGTACAGAGGCTTAAAGTTCATAACTTTTGGAGCCTCCGCTATAAACAAATAGAATTGTGCGAAAACTATTGCACCTACAGCGCCCACTTTTGGCACACTTTTAAAGTATGACAAAACCCTCAACTTGTCATAGGTTTTATAAAATTTTAACAATAAATGCGATAGTTATAAACAAATTAAAAAATGGGCACTTTTCTTTTTTTTTTGCAATAACTTTTTTGTTTATTAACCGATTTTAATTTAACAAGTCTCATTTTGTAGATAATTTTATTCCCTACAAGCTGCCTGGGAGTCACTTTTCGCTAAAATTGATGTTTTTCCCTGCAAAGTGAAAAAACTGTTTTCCTCACATATTCGTTTAAATAGAAAAGTTAGCTAATAAAAGTTTTTGACTCACGAGACGAGAGATGTCTTGTGTTATGTTCCTTTAGACAATTTTACAATAATCTCGCGGATAGGACTTTTTTCGAGTAAAAATTTAATTTGCTTGGTCTAACTGGAGTAAATACCTAAATAAATTGTAGCGCATAACTTGTCCAGTGAAATCGTAAACATCGACGTGGATTGCACTTGTCGTGCGAAAAGCACAAAGTGGAACAGATTTCATTGAGCAAACTAGTTCCTCTAGAACTCTAGACGGTTTAAATACCAATAACTTAATAATTCACATTTTGATGATGATGTTAATTTTGAATTATGAGGTAATGCTTTGCAGGTATTAGAATATTATGTTTATGTTGCATTTTTACAAATATGCGTAATAAGCAAATATATAATTTAATGTCTAGTATTTTTTACAAAATATAAAATAAATACTAGTTACTGCAAATAATATACAATCGTGGTAAATACCACATAACAAATAATTTTGTTCATAAAGAAAATTATCGAATTATTATAAGTAAACTGAATTAACAGTAGAATGTATTGTTTAATACTTAAAATTACCAGTATTGTTTATTATTTATATGTTTAATAATTCTACTTATTTTTAAATAGGAAGATACTCTTTATGTCTCTAAAAGGTTCCTTCTTATGCCTGTGCTTGTTCTTAAAAACCTTCTCTATAAGTCTCTGCTACATTACTCAATCTCTTAATTATATAATAAACAATTCGTTGCAATTTGTATGTCAATGAATGAAACGGCTTGTCCTTTAACCCCTGCACGATAATATGAAATATTAATGTTTATTGTCGATTCCGATTACACAAAATAAATAGATAACTAACTTCTATCTACGGGTTTCAGGAAGTTATAATAATTTAACCTAGTAAATAAATTTAACTGTGCATTTTTCATTTGTAATTAAAACAAAACAACCTTTTTAGTACGTAAATTATATTCGTTTTGCGCAACACATAATAGCTCCTGCACCTTTTGTCGCGAACATCACTTGCTCTTGACACATCTCGGAAGATTGTTTAACTCTTACTTTTCCATTGGCGTTATGTTAAGTGACACATCTTTCAAAATGTACAATTTAATGTTTATGTAAAAAAAAATCCAGAGGAATGCAGGATCGGCAGTGCCATATCATCACACCCTAACCCGTAGGTATGGCTAAGGAGCTTACAGCTCTCGACGCGTTGTTTCTAAATTTATTTATTTTATATTAACATCAATTTATTTTATATCAAGTAAATACCGGTGCAAATCTTAGCTGTATTTTTTTATTAGTAAAGAAACTCGACCATTTGTAACCCGCTCCTGCACTATTTTTTAACTGGTAGTTGATCTGACGCTTCAGAATAGGCTCGTTGGACGCTCATATAGATGCATATCAAGTATATTGTAGTTACGTTCCACGCCCACTTATCTATTTTTCAAACCACAAAGGCAACGCTCTTGTAAACATGTCATTTGATTTTATAGTTAAGTAGTTCTATCAAAATCACAGTCTCGACGGCAGCGTCCTTTAAGTATTGAACATTGCGGTAACAGAAAAACGTTCAAAGGGGGTATTGGAGAAAGTATAGAATAGAGAGTAAAATTCGGCATTTATGACAATTTCAAACGGAAATAACGAGCGTTCAAATAAAAACGTGGTCTAGTTGGTTCTGAAAATTTGGACGTAGGGCGTAGCGTATAGCAAATGAACTTAAACGTCATCTGTCAAAGCGCTATATCGCCGCTATCAATTTGAATATTTTCGTTTTAAAAAGCGTTTAAAATGGTGTTTTCTCAAGAACAAAAAGTGTTTATCATAGAGTCCCACTTTAGAAATGGACGCAAGATTGATGGAATATGGAAGTATTCTATTGAGGAATGTTTCATAGAATTTCGAAATCAATTTCCTGGCGTTGTTGAGTACAAAATTTTTCAAAGTGCAGTTCAGCGTTGTGTTAAGGTAAGAAAAGAAGGAAGCGGCCGACCTAAAAAGCGGACTGAAGAATTAAAAGAAAATCGGACTGAAGAATTAAAAAATGCGCCAAGAACTTCTGTACGTGTTTTATCACAAATGGTGGGAGTATCAGTCGGTACCTGCCACACAGTGTTAAAAAAAGATTTGCGTTTGTTCTCCTATCGTTTAACTTGTCAGCAAGAACTTCATGAAGTTGATTTTCCGCGACGGGCTGTATTTTGTGAATGGTTTTTAAACAACTACGGTGAACTTCATAATATCACCTTTTTTTCTGATGAAGCCTGGTTTCATTTAAGTGGTTACGTAAACTCACAGAATATGAGAATGTGGTCTTCTGAAAAACCAGATAACTTTTTTGTCGAGGGCCCTCTACACGCTCAAAAAATTGGAGTTTGGTGTGCTCTCAATCGAAGGAGGATTTATGGACCTATTTTTTTTAATGGTACTCTTACTGCGCAAAGGTATAGAGAAGAAATTATCGCTCCTTTTGTTAACCAGCTGGAAGAAAACGAAATTACAAACTTTTACTTTCAACAAGATGGCGCAAGGGCACATACGGCAGGCGAGACGATGAATATGTTGAGGGAAGTTTTCCAAAATCGACTAATAAGTCTCAATGCTGAACATGAATTTCCACCGAGGTCATGTGATATTACGCCGTGTGATTTCTTTTTGTGGCCTTACCTTAAAAACACTATTTTTGAACTGCCTATTCCTGATTTAAACCATCTGCAGGCTCGACTTATAGACAAGATTCGTGAAATTAACAATACCCCGAGCATCTTAGAAAATGTCTTTAATTCTTTGAGGAACAGGTGTGAAAAGTGCTTGGAACAAGGAGGGGGACACTTTCAGCAGCTGCTTTAATTTATTGTTATAACAAGGAGGGGGACACTTTCCGCAGCTCCTTTAATTGTTTGTTATTGTTATCACGATTATTCTTTAAAATAAAGTTATATAGTCATTAACGTTATGGAAACTGACAGCTGCTATACAGCTCGTTGAGAAATGAGGTTAAGTTGGTCGCTATAAGCTACTCCCTACGTCCAATGTGTCAGAGCCAACTTCGACCACGTTTTTATTTGAACGCTCGTTATAAAATTCATTTTATATTTTTGTACAATATTTTTTTCATATTTTCATTATATGAAGTATACAGGTTGTTTAGAAATTAGGAAGGATTTTTTTTAATGGTAGGTGGTATTAAGAATATGCATTTTCTTTAATCGAAAATGGCAGTGTGTCTGTAGCGTGTGAATTAATAAGTTTAACTCTAAGAAATTACTCTTCAAATATCATCTCCAAGATTGTAAATACCTACTCTAATTTAAAATGTAAAATTCTTATGCAATTTGAAAAAAATCTCAGTTATATTTTAACTTAGAAAAACCAAATTTGGTACATGGTGTAAATGTACCAAGAGCATTAATCGACAGTAAGTAGAATTCAATTGAAGCATTTTAAAGGGTGGATAAGGGATGATGCAAAATTAAAATGTGACAGAATTTTTTAACCCGTCTATGGGGAATTAATTTAATTCTAACAGTTTTGTTACTCTTGTTAGCTTTCAAAAAACTTTGTCGATTTCAACAAAAACACGAAGAATTGTGGAATTGCATTACGGATAAATGCACATTCATTAGAAACAATCAGCAGTTAGCAGCTCTGTGTGGGTTCATATAAAAAGCACCCTGTATATTTTCAGCTTTTTTCCTACAGACCTACCTTAAAATAACACTTAGAGTTAATTCAAAACAGGATTAACTTCTCTACTCTATCCGATTCAGTTCCAGGGACTAGTAGGTATATGCCGTCTACAGCTGACTGCATACCCTCACTTATTGCTCTATTGTGTTGTACATAAAATTATAATTTATGTGGTCAACTACTATAAATCTGACTTATATGCGTTCACATTTTTTCTCTTAGGAATGAGAACGGAATACATGTTATGATAATAGCTGACAACGTGATTTCAACCAACCAACCGAGTGTAAAAAGAGAAATCGATTTTTCTCCAGGGCTGACCTCTTCATTATTCTGTTTGACGTTATTTCAGTGTCCATTTTTAATATTAAAGTAATACCAAAATTGTGAGGAAAATATGATAAAGCAACTAAATTAAAAAGATGCCCATCTTAAGTACAGGATATTTAAGTAAATTGACGAAACAAAAAGAGTTTCAAAATTGATTGTAATTTCGGAATCAAGACCATCATAATCTAAAAATAATCAGGTCCTGCTTGATCGGTTTTGCCTCGAAATAATTACAAAGTGGATTAAGACATGTTATTACTGTGACGAGAGTCCAAAACGATGTCGTATATAGTCTGAAGTTGCCGACGAAAAGGGCAGCAACACGGTGTATTTAAATGACGGTGTTGTGTAGAAATTTGCCCTTTACTATCACTAAGAAAGTTTAAAAAGTCCACGGCAGGGTTATAATTTCTGCGCATACACTTACCCCTTTCCAACGGTGGTTTCCTTGGCACTGACACCCTCGTAATAGATCCTCGTTTCCACTTCACCATCTGGCAGAGTGTTCGTGGAAACAAAGTCCGTAATTTCCGTGCAATTCACTGTACACGCCGCCACAGCCAAGGTCAGAACGGCCACCAGGAGGCGGCACAAACACCTGGGGCACTGTCTCCTGGATTTCCACATTCACTGTGACTCTGTCTAACACCACTTAACCCCTTTTCGCTCGGATGCGGAGATTCTTACGTTTATCGTCGTTTTTTCAGTCGGCGCATAGTTAAGAACGAATCTGTACAGAAACATAAAAATTGGTAGATATTCTTATTAGATCATGCGTGAATTATATTTTCTCTTAACTTTAGAAAATTGTTGTTTAAAAAAGTTGTTTTTATGTAAAAAGCTGTTAGCAAAAGCGGCTCCTAACTTTTTTCAGACACAAAAATGTGTTTCAGCAGTCTAAATTTAAAATGTTTACCTGATGTAAAAAATATGGGCCCTATGCAGTTTGAGCTAAAAGTTATTGCCTTTCTAAATTATGGTATATACCAATAAAATTGGTAACTATAAACTATTGAGGAAATGTTGTATTTTATATCTCCTTCTGACAGATTTAATGTTACAAGCAGATGTACCTAAATTGTTGGATGGCAAATTTATAACAGAATAATACTTTGTGAGCATATTTTAGAAATAGAAGTAGCACCCGCTTGCAATAGTAGAGAAGAATGTTCTATTTTAACACACTACTAGCAATTTATTCAACCTTGGATTATTATTTTTTAAAGATTGCCAAAGTTATGTAGACCGCAGTTAAAAATAATTACGTTGGAAAACTAGATAAAATATTTGGGTATAACATGCGTCCCAAGGAAATAAATTTTTCTCTTGGAAAAATTGTAGAAACAAGTTATTGTAACTTCAAATAGACCTGTTAAATGGAAACCTTTCAAAGCTGCAACTTTGGTAATTTCATTTACAAATTTTACATATATAGCCCATAAAGCGATCTAAATTTAGTTGCTCCAAAGCAAATTTAAAATATCGTGATATGGAGATACAAGATAACGCAGTGTTAAAATATTTCGTATGGTTGTACCTGTATCTAACTGTTCCGATTCGATTAATTATGTTGTAATCCGACTCCAAATTCTAATCAGAGTTTAGTGGTTTTGTCTATTTCCTCAAATGTAGAGGATATAAAGTTAAATGTTTGAGAAACCACAATTGTTGATGAAGGAACTTTTCTGGAATACTCTGAAGTATAAAGATTCTGAAAACCTCACGATGTAGATTACTTATCATTTCGCATTTGGATTACACCGAAATTTTCGCTATTTATCGATTTAACTTACAACTAGCTTCATTTCGTTCTCTGTTCAATTTTCCTGTCAACTAAGTAAGAAAGTGTTACTTGTTAGTAAATTTCAACTAAACACGTGTAATTGTAAAGATAAATAAATATTTGACGAATATACGAAGTGATAATGGAAAGCAGAATATGTGCAGATTTACAACAAAATTAACAGTTGTATGTGAAACGGAGCAACAATTGTAACAGTAATTGTAAAGCAAACCATTTAAAATGTATGAAAATTGTCATATTTTTCTCCAACCAGTATTGTTCGTTACATTTCAAAGGGACATTCCCGAAAGAAAATGAATGACTTAATTATGATCGCTCCTGTTCCTCATCACATATGCAAATATTTTTTTCCCGGATGTTAACGAAATGCAGTCGTATTTCGCTAATAAGTCATACGTTAAAAATTGTTACACAGATGCGGGGTTATCTCTCCTGCTCTGTCTCTCCCGCGTCCACATTTTTTTAAAACATTTACATCCCTTTATCCCAAAATTACTTTGTTAAATTTTTCTACAGACCAATATTTACGCTATTTAACTTATGCAGTGTTCCGAAGTTGCGAAATTTGTTATAAATCTAACTCTTAATAATTTTTTTTAGAACAGTAACCACCTTTTTATGATTATTCGAGGTTTTAGCTAGATTATGAATAAGGCGTAACATCTGTATGACTGGCGTCGATATATGTTTGGTACAACTTACGACGATAAGCTGTTTACAAAGCTAGGTTTACGATCGTCACGGTGAGCACCCCAATACCCTCGGATTTAGCTAAGTTAGCAGCATATAAATTTCTTTACTCGATATCTCTAACAGATTTTATTTGTGTCATAAACATGCACTACAAGTAGATGCCACTGAAGTTGCTGAAGTAATTCAGACATTTTTAATTAATAAACAAAATTCGTTAACAATGAGAAAAGTGTAAGAAAATTGCATGCACTTATACCTATTATATTAGTACATATCATTGACTTTGACTCTGTACTTGCTTCCTAGACCTTGAACTAATTTCTTGGCACTAGAACCGCATACCCAGAAAAGTTATTTCATGATTACAGACTAACAGAATTGACTAAAATAATTTCGTACGGATTTTTCTAAAACTTCAAATTTAGAAACATCTGATCGTAAAGTACCACATTTTAAAGAATTGTTTTGATGGAACTTTTCCTAGGATTGAAAAATTTAAGGTCGTACTAAACAAATGTGTAATAAAACTCACTTCATGAAAGATAAAAAAAACACTTTTTGTAAAATTTATTAAATATTCCCGTACAGATCAAGTAAATTTTGTATAATAATGGACGTGTACTAAAATAACTTTCTTAAAATATGCGTTCCCGATTGTTTAATGGACTTCGGCGTTGGACCATTATTTATTTTTTATGTATATTAGCACATGTTCTAACAGCACAATATCTAGCTACTCATATAGGTAATGGATAAATTTGTATGTTTATTTTTCTTCTCGAATGTTTTTCTTCGAGGAACATTTACAGCAAACCCAAACACTCGGTGGTTTTAGTTCCTTGATCCAAAATCAAAATTATTGACTCAATAATAATGTTTTAATGAATTCTTATTAACAAAAGTTGTCCAAAGTTGTAAAAAAGTAATTAAAAAATTGAGTTGAATGAAACATTTGACTAATATTATCACTTATGTTATGAATATGGTAATTTTGTCTTTATTTGAAATCATTTCCTTTCGAATTATCATTTTCCTTTTTTAATTCAGTTGTTACTTACACAAAAACTATATCTTCTTTCGAAAAATAAATTCAAACGCACAAAAGAACAGTCTTAAGAGCAACAACCGAAAGAAAACCACCCACAAATAACCGGATAGCTAAAAAAATTAATATCAGATTTCCGATAGAAGGCGCGAAACAAACGCGGAACACGCGGTCTAAGGCAAATGTCACGCCACCGTCCGCTCCTTGGCTGTCTTGATCTCGGCTCGTATGCGTTGATACTGGCACACCAATGCCTACTTGGATGCACTTTTGTGCTTTTGTACAAGAGCGAAACGTCAAGTCGGCCCTGCCGGGAGCGCAGTCTTTCAGTGGCGACTTGACGCCCTCCCCTCGGCCGGCCGGCCGGATTTCGGGATTTTGCGGTTTTCAGTTGTTTTCAGTGTGCGCCACCCTCTCGGGATTAGGCGATCAGGACGCTGCGATTTGCATAAGACTGGGACTTGACCGTTGTGCGGTTTATGCGAATGGGAACGGACAGGATTGATTGTCTGCGTCCACTTTCGTCGTTTCAGATGGGCTATTTCTTATTTTTAAATTCCATATCTTGTTTTATCGGCGATATTTGACGTTTGTGGTCCATCTTACAGGCAATAATTGTTTTTCAAAGCACACTTTCTAAATTTGTAGAATTACGATTATTTTAAACATGAAAATTTTCAATTTGTCGATTTTTACAAAATAAAAAAAAGTGGTAGATATGTACTTTTAATTTGACCAGACAGGCTTTATGTATTTGAACGTACTGAATCCGAATCTGTAGTCCGTTTGGCTCGAACACCACTAAAATTTTGAGTAAATGGCTAAAAATAGTGAAAAAGCGCCGAAAGTCAGGTTAGTGGGCCCAAAAAAACCTGAAAAATTTTGTTCTGGGCTCAACTGACTAGAATCAAATTCATTCGTCTCGACAAAATTTATGAGAAGAACACTACTTGATCCAATCTAGAGTATCGCTTCCTAAATTTTTCCACTCTCATTAATATGATTTTTTGCCATTTTCAACAATTTATTTGTTTTATTTTGCAAAACTGAGGGAATGCAACTAATAGACTTCAGACTCAAATTCAGCGTATCAAAAATATCAAAATACATGAGAAACACACTTGATCAAAGTCAGTCACTAACGTGATTTTCGGCGCGTTTTCACTATTTTTGCCATTTACTCAAAATTTTGGGGGTGTTTGAGCTAATCGGTCTCCAAATTCGGATTCAGCACAACAAATTACATAAAGCCTATTGGGTCAAATCAAAAGTACATACCATTTATTTTATTTTGTGTGCTGGTATTATTAGACTTATAAAATGTCAAAAGTGTGTCGTATATACAGGGTGGTGGAGGTAATGGGCCAAAATTCATGGGTAGATTCCCGAAGCAAAAATATTGCGATCTAGCCGAACTTACCTTAGTCCAAAAGTTGATAGTTAAAGAGATAGAGGGTGTTTGTAAAATATTATTTTAGTTTATTTCCATTTATTTCTTAATAAATGCAAATATCCTCACAAAATTCTGAGGTTTGGGGTTCTTTGAGTAGAGGAATTGAAATTTGTTCACATTTTCATTATAGTTCATAGAGGGCGCTAGCTATCAAAGATTGAATGTGTTGAAAACGACATAACTTTTTTGTACTTTAAGGTATCTCATCTTTGGTATCAAATTCTTATTTTCCAACTTTTTTTACATAAAAAAGGTATACTTTATGGAAGTAGCTATGTCTCGTACCGTTTTTGAGATATTTGGCTTTGAAACTTCCAATGCTAATAGTTGAAATAATTAAAATAATTTAGAAATGTTAAAAAGAAGGGTTTACTTAGAATTAAAAATTGTAAAGAATAGTAAAATACTAAACACTAATAAAAAATATGCATTTTTGACAATAATTGCTGAAAATCTCCTCATAACTTCAATACATTTATCAACGCGTTTATTAAAAGATTGTTTTATTTTTAAGTATAAATCCTTAATGCGAAATGACTGCAGCATTTAAAACCTGCTGCTAAAGTTCTTCTCAGGTGTTTATAGTTTTTCCATAAACAACTGATTTCATGTAACCCCAAAAGTTGGAAGTTTCAAAGCCAAATATCTCGAAAACGGTGCGAGATAGCTACTTTCATAAAGTATACCATTTTTGTGTAAAAAAAGTTGGAAATTAAGAATTTGATGAGATGAAAAGATGAGATACCTCAAAGTATAAAAAAGTTATGTCGTTTTCAACAGATTCAATCTACTGCAGCTAGCGCCCTCTATGAAATTTAACCAAAATGTGAACAGATTTCAATTCCTCTACCAAAAGAACTCCAAACCTCAAAATTTTGTGAGGATATTTGCATTTGTTAAGGAATAAATGAAGAAAAACTGAAATAATATTTTACATTTAACACCTTGTATCTCTTTAACTATCAACTTTTGGACTAAGGTAAGTTCGGCTAAATCGCAATATTTTTACTTGGAGAATCTACCCATGAATTTTGGCCCATTACCTCGGGACCACCCTGTATAACTAGATTCGTATTAAAATTATCTTAGTCAAATAAAATATGCGATGTTAATTAAAACTAATGAATTGCTGTCACCGATTTGCTTTTAATGTATTGCTGTAAATTTTTGTGCAAAAAAATACCGGAAGTTTTTCTTATTAAAAGAAAACTATTCGTCCACATTCTCTTAAGTTGATTTTCAATTGTTTTTCTGATAGGCATACTCTGATTCCGCAGAACTTTTTGCATGTATCTATGTCTACATTTTGTCCGATTCAAATATCTTAACAATAAATGCAATATGAAAAAAATTAGGGGTTTTATATTGTTCTACAGGTTTTAAATGAACTACAAAATTCCAGTTTTTCGGTATCGAAAGTCCTTTGAGGCGACGGTGACGAAATAGCATCTGATCATATTTTTGCTGTTACTTATTAAAGGACACCACTTGAGGCACTTTGCACATCTTTAAAAGGTTCTGTTACTTTTTTAATTTTTAAGATTTCAAACTACAGTTCCATTATATTTTAACTCTTTGAAGAGGAAATTTTATTGTGGTAAGTGTTCAAAAATCTTTATAAATTATTAATTGAATCTTTAAATTACAATACAAAACAATATAAACAGAAACTACGTAATGTTCGTCCTCATCCTGTGTATGTGTTATTCCAAACGTTCAGGAAAGCAACAAGAAAAATGTCTTTTGTCGTATTAACAAGGTCTCTACGGCCATTAAGATTCTATTAGCACGGCAACCTCTTATTTGTTTATTTAAAACGCTTGAATGTTCTACCCATCACTTATTTCTGATACCATGCATACAAAATGCCTAACATACTTAACTCTGAAGAGATATCGCAATATTTTATACGCTCTTCTATGCATTTATATATAGCACAAGTTACAAAAACGACATTAAAAACAAAAACTTGTTTAATATTTTCATTAAAATATCAGTAACGGGCCACCTAGACGAAAAAAAACAATGCCATCCCAACAAATAAAAGTTTCTGCCTTTTATGAGTCAAATGCAATGGCTAAAATTTTAGTACTCATTTCTGGAATACGCTGTATGTACCTAGATTTGTGTAAAATAAAAATATTTCGTCGCAAATCTTTCTATATACTCCCGGATTTTCGGAGAAATCATGCAAACACGTAACGAAATATAATAAGGAGATGCTTGTCAACAAATCAACAAAATGAGGCTACTATTCTTGGCCAATCGCGAGAGAGCTCAGAGATCGGTTTATGTGTGACAACATGCCGAAAAATAGGAGTCCGAACGATGCGGTGATGTGCGATTATTTATGACGTTTCCAGCGGTTTCTTATAATTGCGATTCGTAATAAAAATCGCAAGTGCGGTCTATAATTTTTATATTAAGCAGACCGATGTACTTGTACACGAGGTCGAATTAGAGTGGTGATTTAAAATTAGCCTCTTTTTAATTTAGTATAAAAATTTCGCCTTCTTGTAATATATGTTACTTATTTTTAACAATATTTTTAATCTGAATAGGTACCTAATAGTTAAATAAGTAAATCATTGCAAATTATGGTGAAGTCGCTGGTTTTTTCAATTAATTCCTTCGAATATATTTTAATTTCTTTGGACTTCTATAAAAATAAATAGAATGTAGTAAGTCCAGAGTCAAGCCTGTCATTGTATTTGTGTGTATGGGTGTACCGAGAAATGAAATAGGTATACACTGTTATTACAATTGCAAATGGTTAGAACAAACAATTGTAATAACAAAGTTAGAGATGATTGTGTATTCCTCTTTTTAAATTACAGATAATTTTAAAGGGCTTTATGAATATGGATATGTGACGACATTATGACATAAGAGTCAACTTGGAGTATGATTATTTTTTATTAGCATAGTTCATACGTATATTACGTACAATAATTTGTTCTTATTTTATGTTTAAAAACTAGACCACCATGTATATTGAATAATAAATAAATTAGAGGGCTTTTCTTAAATTAAGGCCCAATTTATGTATGAATAGAATAAATCAAAATGGAGATAGAAAATCTCAGGCCTTTTATACACTTCCCCGTCACCCACGTTTCCTTCAAACTATGAGAATGAGCATTCCTACTAAACGCTTATTTCAGTAACAAATGGTCGTACGTCATCTAAATTTCCTGACCTCCTCACAGACAATTCTTTATTTTCGTCAATTCGTGGTGGTATGGCCTTTAAATCGGAATGGTCAGTACATAAAATCATCTATTTATATGCGTTAGGTCTGGACACAGTCACAGTACAAGCTTTGTGCTAGGAGCCGTGCCGTAATATTATACCACATCAGTAAATTTATAATTGGGCATATCAAATTTGATAAAGCAGTACTTTCCCATACAAATAGATTTAAAAAAACATATGATTCATTAGAAATACTTTATCTGTCGTAATTTCCTTTAATTCCTTTACTTAGAATTTGTGTAATTATTACTTCTCACAATCAGTACTAAAAAATCCATTAAATATTCTTCTCGTTCAGTCCATTTTATCGTGATATATTATTCTCCTTATAGAACCAGCGTAAATCGTAGATATAATAAACCGTAACATCGACAAAAGAAATTAAATAGAAGCTGGAATATCTGTAGTTTTACGTTCCTCGGTATCCATCTTTTCAGATATTGTAAACTGAAACTGAAATAGACCGCTTTACTACAGACTTTATTAGACACTTCCTCAAGTTGCAGTGTA